CTTCCATAATAGATTATAAATTTACTTGGGTTGCACAGATCTTACAGGATTCTTGCACTGTAGTACTCTGATCTATCAAATAAGGCTTCTCTAGCTTTTTGTTCTGTACCCATGTAATGAAAGTTCAAGCCTAAAAAGCATTAAATATTGATATATTAAAATTTCTATCAAAATTTCGGTTTCTACAAAAACTTGTTTGGCTCATAAGAATTTTGGGGAAAGGAAGAAGGAGTTTTGTGCATCTAATAAAAAATATTTATTCTGGTGATTTTAGGTCTGACATATTCTGCTGTGTACACTCAGGAAAACACAACAGCTGCATTTTTTAAATTTCTCAAGGTATTTTTGTGAACATTTGAAGAAAAACAGGTGTAGGGTTCAACAATTGCTATTCCCAAACAAGGATACCTCTTTTAAACTTCGAGTAATTCATTGAAAGGTAGTTATTACCAGGCAGACATTGTCTTCAATTATCTCTGTCTGTGAGGAAATGCAATTATCTGGAAGGCAACAGGTGAAATTGTGGCCATTGTATATATATATATATTGTATATATATTATATATATATTTTTATATATATATTGTATGTGTATATATATACACAATATATTATATATATATTAGACATATATTATACATATTATATTATATAATATATATATTATACATATATTATATATATTTATTTATATTGTCTGTATATATTTATTCATTTTTAAATTTATTTTAATTTATTTTAATTTATTTTTATTTTTATTAATTTTTATTTTTATACTATTTTTTTTCCTTAAAAGCCTAACACAGCCACAAATACCAAATTTGCATTGATTACACTGAGCTGTGAGACTTATCTATCCTATCTTCTTTTTCTTTATCTTGATTTCAGCCATTATTTTTCAGTTTAAATTTGTGATGCTTTTGGAGAAGGAATTTCTCTAAAAGATTCTAGGGGAAAAAAACCCAACACTTAACCACAAATCATCTTAGTTTAATAGGGTTTACATTCAGAGATGTGAATTCAAAACATAAAATAAAGATATATTACAAAGAAGTAAGCTCACTACTCAAGTTCCAGTTTTGACTGTGCTTTCCTTCAAATTCATCTTGCACGAGGGGATGTCAAGATGCAGAAATACTGAATTATTAACTTTTATTTAAAACCTATATTAACTTTTATTTACTATTAACTGCATCTTTTAAACTGTATGGCAGGTGCTTTTCCAGCCTCAGCACTCTATGCACGCAAGGACCTTCTTCACAGACCTGTGCACGTGGCCACTAAAACTTTCCAAGGCCTGAGAATATTTGTAAATGATGAGCTCCATGAACTCTTCATAGGACTGAGGACAGCTGAGAAGTTTCTAAAACCAGGAGGTCGCCTCGTGGCCCTCTCCTTCCATTCGCTGGAAGATCGTATCGTCAAACGTTTTCTTCATGGAATTGACGTGACGGAGAGGTACAGTCTTGGCTCAAAGCAGAAGATAAGACAGGCTCTGAAAAATTCCTCCAGAGGAGAAAATTCACAAGAATCCCCGCATGGAAAATCCAACTCAAAGTGGATTTTGATACAGAAAAAAGTTCTCACGCCCCAGGCCAAGGATATTCAAACAAACCCAAGAGGAAGGTCGGCCAAACTAAGGGCTGCTATTAAACTGTAAAGAAAAATATATGATTACATGATTGTATAATTTCCTTAAATTCTGTTTTCCAGAATGCTAACTGGACACATAGTATCAAACTGAAAAAATAAAATGAAGGTTATTGGAGAACATTTCTCTCTTACCTTTGTGCTTCTTTTTGATTAGGAAGTAGTATAGAGCATGAAAATGCAAAATAAATGCCTTATATATACTTAAATATAAGTGGGTGTCACTAATTATACAAAAAATACATCTTTTTTTTTCAAAGAGCTTCAAACACCAAGTTTATAAAAATTGCAGGTTTGATGTATTTGGAGTATTCCCCTTAGATTCATTTCAAGATCCTGACATTAGCAGTCTAAATTCAGTAGCTAATTGAGACATATTTTTATGGGGGTGAATTTCACATGCCTAATTCAGATGTGTGGTTTAGTCTAGAGTAAGTTTAAACTAACCTAAGAATTCTTGATATATTTCTCTGTATCCCAG